GAGGCCAATGCTATTAGGTTGGAGGCCATCGCTAGTAGGTTGGAGGCCATTGCTTCGAGGTCGGAGGCCATTGGTATTAGGTTGGAGAGGCCATCGCTTCGAGGTTGGAGGCCATCGGTATTAGGTTGGAGAGGCCATCGCTGTTGGGTTGGAGAGGCCATCTCTAGTAGGTCGGAGGCCATCGCTAGTACAGTGATTGAAAGCACTTTGCTGCAGTCTGCCCTGCGGCAAATCCTCCATGGGCTTCGGAGTATGGACAGGATCGGTAAGCCGCAGGTCGCAAGTGTTAGGGTGCAAGATGGTGCAAAGGTTACACGTGTTCAGGTACCTTCTCACGGCAGATTTGTGAGTTTCAGCGGCAGAGGTAGGTTGGATGATGCAGATTGGGACAGATGCAATGGAGACGACAAGCTGATGTCTTGTTGGATCAGCCTTGTTCGTCCCTGTGAAGGATTCACCTGATCTCCTTCCATAGCTTCGCGCGTGCAGACTTCATCAACGGTTCATTTGCAGAGAAGGCCTGTAGTGGGGACATATTGTGGGACAGAGAGAGAGAGAGAGATCATGGGAATCATGTTGACCACGAAAGGTTCTTAGCCCTTAATTGAGTGGGTGCTTACTTGATTAAGTAAGGAGGCGGGGCCACGGGCTAAAAAGAAAAAAAACACACAGCAACTCGGTTGCAGCAGGCATAGACACATAAACATTGCACATGGTTTTGTATGGTCTCTCTGATCCGACAGCAGATGCTTTCAGTCCTTATTGCTGCTTAAACATGGTTATGTATACCATGCTGTATGCTTCAAGAATCGAGGCAGCATTGTTAGTTGTGCCAGAAGCTATTTAAGTCTTCTCTTCCATTGACAGGATGCCATACTAGGCAGTGGATGTAGACAATTTTTCACCAATCTCGCTTAAGAGGATGCGCGGCCTGTAGATACAGTAGCGGGTAGAAGATGGAGCGTTGTGGGGCTGGGTTTTCACAAAAGTGTTGGTGAACCAGGACAAACATGTTACAAGCAATGGCCTCCAACCTAATAAGTGATGGCCTCCAACCGATGGCCTCCAACCTATTGGGAGAACATGCGAAGTGCTTCAATGTGCCATGATCCCAGAACTTTGATTCCAATCACTTGCGCTGTGCTCTCCAAGGCTCAGCTGCAAGCGGCTGTTGATGCACTCCACACAAGGAGCAATCACTCCATTCGTCCGGCGCCCAGTCTTCCTCGGTCTTTTCGGTCACCAAAGGCGGCAAATTTCACCAAAGGTAGTGACCAGTGAAACATCAGAGGCAAAAAGGCAGGCTGCAGAGGCTGCAATCTGGCAGTTGACGTGTGTATTCTCCACGATTTCTCATGGCCTTGTTTTGCGCAAGAATGGAAGAACAACAACTAGTAATTACTGTATGTGGCTTGCGGCAAACAAGATAGGCCAAGGAGACCGCATTCCGGGAGTTTGACATTCGTGGAGCGTAATGACCACCACTTCTACACGTCGTGTCTAAGCAAAGGTCTTTTCGACATGCAAAAAGATGCCTAGTGAAGGTCCAGTGGATGGCAGTGACCCTGTGCCACAGGCAGGGACAACATCAAGGGATGTGCGATGAAGTGTTTGAAGCGATTAGATGGGCAGGTCCAGCGTAGTAGTTAGTTGCATAAGGCACTTGTGTTGTGCAATGTAGTGTAACAGTTTCATGACAATTCTGGAGTGACTGCATTGCAACCCTAGCCGTCACTGCTCTGGCACAGGATATCAGCAACATCAGCGAAGGCTTATGGATTGCACAGCAGGGACCTAAGATTGAAAGTTGATTTGATAAGTTGAACAGGTACTTGGCCGTCGGAAACTATCCACTGATGATCTCACGGGGGTATGTTTGTGGAAAAGCTTGTGCCTGCCAGGAGGCTTTTAGTTGGTCCTTTGGCATCGAGCACGCGGAATATGACCAGGTGCCAGACAAAAAACAGTTTTGGTAATTTTCTGTTCCTTTTTTATCCAGGGAAAGCCTTGTGGAGAAGTGGCAATCGATAGAAGTGTCACAGCTTTTTTCGAGGCGTGCCATGCTGTTCACGGATGGGCAACTGCTCGGCTCAGTCACCAGATGTAGCTTGGCATCACTTGGCTGTCCGAATTCTGCAGGATGGTGAAGCTGCAGCCGTGGTGTGTTTTTACTTCTATTTGAAGACGGCGACACGCTGCGGTGTTCTAACGTGATGTTTGATCAGCCATTTGATTTCGCTTGTTTCGCTTGTTTCGATTTCCAACAAGATTTTCATTTCTTGCGTGATGTTTCGTTTTGATGTTTTCGCTAGACCGTGCTGCCTTGGATGCCTTGGAGCGAACGTCCGTAGCAGGTGTTTGGAGCCAAGGAGTGTTTCTTTGCCTTAAAGATATCATTCTTCGTTCGTTGTTTCTTACCAGAGCAGATTTAACATGCAGTGGTACACTTGCAGATTGCAACAACATTGTATGCCAGCATCGTTTGCACTCATTCTCCAAGATGATGAAGAATCACAGCGAGTATGCACAAGGGGACGGAGTTTTGTCTCTTGATTTGATTGCTCAAGCCATTTCAGCTGTGAAGGAGCTGTCACTCGATTGTCCTTGGTCCAAAATGGGATCCGGTGCATCTGCTGTGAAGGAGCCTGAACCCAATGGCCTCACAGACGGGGATCTGACGGAATCAGAAAAGACACACATGGAAGCAGTCTTAAGGCAAACCAAGACGGAAGTCTTGGACCAGATCAACCAAGAGCGTATGTACAGGGGTTGGGCGATGGAGTGGAAGGCAGATTTATCTGACCCCAGGCAGAAGTTTAACAGAGAGACATCTCAGAAGACGGTGCTGTTCATCAGCGACGGTATTCAAACCTGGCCCCAAGCTGCAAGTGCAGCAAAGGAGGACATGATCAGCTTGTGGTACCCTGCTAAGGAGCACTAAAGGACGCTACTAGGGGCTCCTGGCATCGCTACTAGGAGCAGCGGACGCTACTAGGAGTAAAGGGCATCGCTACTAGCAACAAGAAGCTGCTAGTAGCTCCTGGCAGTACTAGCACGAGTTGTCCGATGACAAGGCCCTCAAAGTTGCGGAGATCCCGAGGGTTCCTTGTCGCATTTTGGATGGATGTTTCGAGGCTGCGAGATGACGGCCGGAGATGCCCTCGACCCGGAGGACCCTGTGGATTTCGACCTGCCGATCGAGAAGTTTGAGAAGAACTTCAAAGCGAAATTGGAAGAGAAAGGTTTGTGGTCATCTTTAAATTCCTTGACACCCTGAAAGCCTACCTAGCCCCCGATGCTCAAGTGGACATCCTAGTGGTTGAGGTGCGCCCAGCAGATATGTTGGCGGGGGAGGCTGGTGTGAAGATCCTCCAGCACTTGGAGTCCGCCAGCGGCATCAAGATGTGGCATGCCTGTCCGGACTTGGTGGGGAGCAGCCAAGCCTCAAAGGAACTTGGAGCAAGGTGAAGGAGACTTACTTCACTGGTTTGATTGTGAACTTCGAAGATAGCTTGCTGGACTACGGGGAACTTAACAAGTTGCAAATGCAGGTGCTCCGCAGGGCACAATGAAGCAAAGATGGAAAACAATCAAGCGAAGATGGAAAGTGACTCCTGCCAGCGAGGGCCGCCCCAACCTATAAGATGATCCACCACAGTTTGGCAGCGGCTTGTGACCCATGTTACATCAGCGCGGGGCATCTTCAGTCTTCTTTGGCACCAGGGTTTGAACCCAGGCCCTGATGGGGTGCCCACCGCAGTGTGGATGCCCATCTCTGAAGCAAGGGGTGCTGGGCTACCTCGTGATACCTCAATCCTTGCGCAGCGGACATGGGGAGGGAAAAAAGGATTCAAGAGGATCAAGATGCATACTTTGTGGGAAATGAACAGACATGATGGGCACGTTTGTGATGTCCTGAAAGGTTGGGACTAGTGGCTCAAAGACAGATAGATTTGAGAATCAGCACGTTTGGGCTAGTGCAATGGATCCACGGACAGCTTGCAGAACCACAGTGGTGCGAGGGCGCAAGAAAACAATATATATATATATACCAACCAAGTTCCAGATGCCTGAGGTGTCCACCACAGTAGTGGCTGTGGGGCCCCTAGGATGGCTCGAAGAGGCTGCCAAGGCCCGACTCAGCGGGAGGATTCGTCAACTTCCAAGCCTTCTTTGTTCTTAGCGTTCTTCTGGACGGTGTTAGTAGAGGCCAAGAAGCAGACCCAAAGACAGAAGTGTTTGCTCCGTTATCGGACAAAGAAAACGGTGACGTGCGATGAAGTGACGGTGACATAATGAGCTTCATATTGTTTGAGTTTTTTCGAAGAACCATCCTGGAATCTGACGCGATCCACGCTAGGCAGGGCGGGGTGACTACATTCATTTGCAAGGTCCTGCCAGCTTTCAACAGGCGGCAAGATTGCAATTTATTCAGGAGTGCTGATGGCAACAGGCGGCAAGAGTGCAATCTATTGAGGAGTGCTGATGGCAAATGATTGCAAATGCCATTTTCGGGAGGTTTGAGAAGTGGGAAAAGAGCCATTGGACAGTGGAAACACTGGTTTTGGCCTCTCCAATCTTTACGATGTGGAAAGAAGAAGCGCTCTTTATTTCGACAGTGGAAGGAAGTATTCGCTAGCTGTCATAGACTTGAATAGTTTTGACAGTGGAGAGAAGTATACTTCAAACAGCAAGACAGGTGGTTGCAGCAGCATCTCCAAGCCATTTTCCGCCGGCACCCAAGGGCGGCACCCCGCTGGGCGCGCGCTCTCTCTCTCTTTTTTTTGTGCCCTTCTTTCCCAGGCCAAGTTAGAATACGTTAGAATATGTTGGAATATCGAGAATTCACAGCACGTTCACGTGGAACTCTTGTCCTTACCTATACTTCCTGACCTGCTGATGTTGAACGTCCCTGTCTATACATGACGCCTTCACATCAGCGAAGCTCTTAGGACCTTCGCCACCAATGCAAAGCTGCGCTTGGCCACATCCTTCGGGGCACGCATGGCCAACACCTACAGCCATAGGCCCACACATTGCTAAAGCAGAGTTTGACCAAGTACGTCAACCAGTGCCAAGATGTTTTAAGACATGTTCCGAGTGTATATATATATATATATGTACGTGTGTGTGTAACGTTTCTTGCATTGGCCCTGGTCTGGGACACCCAAACCATGACACCAGAGTGCAAGAGACGCTGCACAACCCCACAAGCAGCTGTTGAACAAGCTGCTCACATGCGCAATTGGAGGCCATTGCCGTTGCTAGTAGGTTGGAGGCCATTGCAATTAGGGTCATTTTGCTTGGATGCTTTGTTTAGATTCACCTGACCTGTCCACTTCTCGACCTTGAGGCGGCGCCGAGAACATCAGCGCCACTCAGTCTTCAGATGCACAGTTGATGCACTTCAAGGACTCAAGAAATGAACCACTCCAATCACTGCCGTTACTATCCATTACTCCATACCGGGAACCCCGTACTACTCCCATTCTGCATGCATTTTTGACATCGCTTTACCGTGACCGGTCGGATGACGAACCCGAGTGACCTCGTGTTTGAAGGGATCCGAAGGGACCGGACGCCTTAGACCCGCCTTCGAGGATTTTTAATTGTCTTTTGGGAGCGGAGCAAGACACGGGCTACTAGGGGCTCCTGGCCTTACTAGTAACAAGAAGCTACTAGGAACAAGTGCATCGCTTCTAGTAACAAGTGCCTTACTAGTAGTAACAAGAAG